CATGACTACATGTCGCAGTCAAGGCGCCAATACAATTTGACGTGACGTGGTGTGCGTGCTCGCCGGCGTTCATTTCGTCGAGTCACGCCAGCGTTGCCACGCCAGGCGCCGGTCCTGCCATGAACTCGCAGGCGCGCGCCACACTGCGTTGCTTTGACGCATGCGCGTTTCAGTGCGTCCGGCATCCCTTCTTCACGAAAACAGTCAGACGCAGTGCTGTCTGGGTAACGCATCGGCGCGAGGTGGAGCATGTCGCATTTCGCGCCGGTTGCCGTCGGGCCGCGCCGACGGATGCTGGCCGCTCGGGTCGCGCTTGCGTCTGTTGCTGTGCCTAGCGTGCGCGGGCGTCAACGTTCTGTTGGAGTACAATGAGCCCTTCATGACGCGCTCGCGGCCGTTTCGCTAGCTCCACATATACCGAATTTAGTGCTACGTGATGTCAGTGGATGACGAAGGTATATGACTGGTTCAAACATGATAATCCTGACACGCGTGTCATGTAAAAACATGACAACATAGCACGCTCATAGCGTGCTCCCGGCCGTTTTGCAAACTTCACATATACTAAATTGGGCATCACGTATCGCGAATAGATGATGAAGGTAAACGATACATCCAAACATGATAATCATGACATGAAATTCATGTACGACATAATTTACTTCCACCTCGTAACGTTGTGCTGATCTTAAAGTGATATATCAACCTTCCTCATTCATGCTTGGCATATCATCAATTCACACTGCGCGTGGAATCTGCCAATTTTTTTATTGATATGATATATAAGGAGATTTTGGTGCACCATTATGGCGCCGGCTACTCCTTAGCCCTTGAGTGAAACTTGAACACGTATCTTAAAGTAAAACATACAAATCAGTGCAGGGAAAATAGAACACTTGGGCACATATATGCAAAGACACACCTACATACACATATCACAACAAAATGATAAGGAAATGTTTGAAAGTCAACGAATGAAGTCTCTGATAATGTCCCTCGTTAATATTTGGTCTAATCAGCACAACACAGCAGAGCACACGTCTGGTCCTTATGAAGATGTATTCGCTCGTGTGTACATATTAGTGGACACGTCATTCACTTCACAACACACATGGTACTGCGCATAATAAGTACATTTGTTATACAAATTAAAGTTTATTATTTGTAGTACTTGTCAGCAATTCCGCTGTCTTGTAAGAAACGTGTTAATGCTTTTAAAGCGTGCGACTGTAAAACTCCAGTTGCCCACGGGCCCTGAAGTTTCTTCATGCTAAACGGTCTATTCTATTTATAGGAAAGTCTTGTTAGGAATTCCATATTACGCATGCATAAACAAGTATACCCCTACCTGCAAAAAATACAAAGTTTTCTTGATTTCGCGCATCGCCTCTTTAAAATTTCCTGCGAATAACGTGAAACCTCCTCCTAGATTTTGCTATGGTTTTGTCAATGTGTTTGTTGCAAGTAAATGATTCAGTGAAATAAACACCTAGATACTTATATTCACTGTGTATGTTGATAAGTATGCCATAGATATTATATTTATGATATGATTAGGATCAAATCATCAATATAACACAAATGGCACATGGCATGTTTCAATTCTCACGTGTTTCAGCGTGCAACTGGGACTTCGCCCATAAAGCTTGGCCTCGAGAAATTGAGATTTAGTTCTGTTCTAACTGTTATGCTGTGGAGAGGTTGAGGTCCATATTGCCTTGGCTACTCCAAACCAATACGTTCTGCAACGGAAAAACATAGAAGAATAGCACTGTACGATACCCCAAAATAAACTAACAAAAACGCAATACAGCACACTGAAACCAGTTTGTATTTATTCCTCTCTTCTCGACAGTTTGTGAAATGATTTTTTAAAATATCGCGGCATATTTTGAGGAAGTGAACACCTAAAAGAAAAGTTAGAACTGGCTACGTAGCGAAATCAGACTTGCTTCATTGTTTCTCTTCATAGCTTTAGCCTTGCATATGGACGCTTTTACAGAGAACTCGGATAAAAGTAGAAAACGAAATAGACAGATCAGTAAACATGAGCCTCACACTTGTACGTACGCAACAACAATGACGTGTAGTTCAGCAGAAGAAAATGGATGGGCAAAATACACCAGTATATAAGGACGTCGGTTTCACACATGATGCCTTCATTTCATGAAAACAAAGCGAATGCTTAGGAGACCATGAATTTTGCATACGTGCTTCCCCTTCTACTTTGCACGGCATGTACGCAGGGTATGTTCGTGATATTTTATATTCTATCATACAAAATCATGTTGCATCACGTATGTATTTTTGTCGACCAATAGCATCCTATATATAATTTTATTGAAAATTATATAGTACTTTTCTTTTCTTCATACAATTACATGCGGACTTCCAAGATGAAGTATTACCAGCAGTGCGAGAAATTTACGAGAAACCTTTGCACCCGCACGAAACGGTGCTTTGTAGCAATTCACAACTTTGAACACTGCCTAATTCAGGGCAATGCTTTGATGCATCGTAGAGCTAGCGTTGTATTTAGGCTACGATGCCGATGTCAGGTTTTTCTTAATGCTCACGTGTTAAAATTGCCCATTTGTATTCTTGTCGTTACTGGCTAGATAATAACTTCAATAAATAATGGGGGGTTTCACGTCCCGAAACCCTTATATGATTATGAGAGGCGCTCCAGAAATTTCGACCACCTGGGATTCATTAACGTGCACCAAAATCTAAGCACATGGGCCAGCAGCATTTTCGCCTACATCGAAATGGTGGCCACCGCCGCCAGGATTTGATCCATTGACGAACGGGTCAGCAGCCAATAAACCACCGCAGCGAAGGGAGATACCAAGTTCAATCACCTCTGGGACACGCCCACGGGTATGTGCCGATGTCTGGTGGAAAGTGTTTGATGACGTACTCGACGGGATTGTGACATTTTTATGACTTGATTAGCACGTCATATTCGTCAAGCCATCTTACCCTCACCTACTAATTGTGGTTCACGCCAGATGAAAAGTGTGATCACGGGAGGAGCACCCAGATGCGAGCGGCTTAATAGATAGATAGATAGATAGATAGATAGATAGATAGATAGATAGATAGACAGATAGACAGATAGATAGATAGATAGATAGATAGATAGATAGATAGATAGATAGATAGATAGATAGATAGATAGATAGATAGACAGACAGACAGACAGACAGATAGATGGACAGATAGATAGATAGATAGATAGATAGATAGATAGATAGATAGGATAGATAGATAGATAGATAGATAGACAGACAGACAGACAGACAGACAGACAGACAGACAGACAGACAGACAGACAGACAGACAGACAGATAGATAGATAGATAGATAGATAGATAGATAGATAGATAGATAGATAGATAGATAGATAGATAGATAGATAGATAGATAGATAGATAGATAGATAGATAGATAGATAGATAGATAGATAGATAGCAAAGTGCTTGCAGTACGCAAAAAAAATGATTTGCATTTGAAAACGGAAATCAACAGTGTTGGCCTGAAGAATGAAAAAAGTACATATAAATTTACCAACAAATACTGAGTCCGAGCAATGCGTGTGAAAAACAAATATTCTGCCACAGAACCTCGCTATTGTTTTGGAACTGCTTTGAAAAAAATATATAATACACCGGCGTAACGCAGGTGAAATGTCAGTTGTGGTTGCAGTGCTCGTTATCTAATTTTATGAATATTTATTTGCACTGCTATATTACAGTTATCATGTCAGGTTAACGTCAATTGTATTTAGGCGCCATCCACTAAAATTGGCTTGTGTAGCACTATCAAGGGCTGCTGTGTCAGCTAACAGAAGCGCTGTATATCAGCTTTACACCATAAGTACCGGACCGGTAATGCGCTTGTTGCTATTGGCGCCGTTACACAGCTGTAAAGAACAGGTTAACTGGTTGTACAAAATATATTGTTCTGCTAAACATATATCTTCGCGTAAAACATTTGTACATATCTTTAGCGACGTTTTCAATGTTTCGCTAAGAAAGGTCTCAGCTTTGCCGCAAAGGCGAAGCAATGAATGCAATAGCAACCAATTAGAATGTCACGCGAAGAATGGCAAGCAGATCGAAACGTGCCCCGCATTGCTGATGCGATTAAGTCTATCAGTTTTTGCTTCGCTGTGTCTAAAAAGCGTGCCCTTTTTGCAAATAGAAACTGTGCAGCGAGTGCAGTGGCGTTTGTGCGCCGGGTAACTACAACAGATTCATTCCGGTGAAAGCCCACGGCGTTCGATTCTCCCCACCATGAGACGCGATTAAGTGTATCAGTTCTTGCTTCGTTGTGCCGAAAATTCGCGCCCTTTTCGAAAACAGAAACTGTGCAGCGAGGGCAGTGGCGTTTGTGCACCGGGTAACTACAACAGATTCGTTCCGGTGAAAGCCCAAGGCGTACGATTCTCCCCAATGTGAGATGAGCGCACGCACGCGTGAGCGTCTACCCCCTCCCCTGCTTCACTGGACAAAGTACGCATGGGAGATGAGAGCGTGTGCCGCAGCGTTGTGGCAATATGGCGACGCCGGCTCATTGCGTCGTCTCGCTGGTAATGCTGAAAACACGATAGTTCCCTCGGGACAGGCGTCGTCAAGCGGTAAGTGGTAGACATGTTTAGCTTGCCGTTTCAACCTTGAAGGAAGTGCTCCTTCGTGGTAGAATGGTTAACTCCTCGCACTCACAATCGAAAGGCCGGATGTTCAATTCCGCATGCCGGAGTCTTTTTCTGGGTTAGTTTCTTTCTTGCAGTTTCATTTATATACATACGTATACATATACGGTAAATGACGTAGACGACGGTGGCAAAATCCAGCCGAGTGTGTCCATATGATTGCTATCGCAATAAAAAAACACTACATGACAGTCACATTCCCTCAGCATGCTTCTCATAACATCATTTTCTATGGTCTATGGGGTCGTTCGAATTTTTAATATTACTTATATTCCTTTTTCAGCGGAAGGACGAAGACGGAGATGTTACCTCCCCCCAGAGACCGGTGTTTGCCGAGCACGAATCCCGAAATGGTATTATGACCATTTGACTGGCCAGTGCAAGGAATTCATCTATGGTGGTTGCGGAGGAAACCGGAACCAGTTTTCCACAATAGAAGAATGCCTCGCCGAATGTGCCCGTAAGTACTGATCAAATATCAGCTGTGGTCGCAAAAAGAGATCTCTACTTTTCTTGCAAAGCTAGAAAAATGTTTCGTTGTTTTTATGTATGAACTGAAATCCTATAACTTTTACAAGTGTTACGAACAGCATTGCTCTACAGATAGTTTACTCTTGCATACAAATATGCTGTATATAGAGATCACTCTGTGCAAGTGTAAAGCTCAGACAATGGAGACATCATATTTAAGGTTGATATTAAAGTCGACTTCGCAATGTGCCCCTGCCGGTATCTTGTGCCGCCTGTGCATTGCCAAAACATACAAGATGGCCACTCCTGTGCCATAATTGAAGTCACGATGCACAGAAGCCTTGGAAATGCCATGACATTCTGGGGCAAGCATGTTGCAAAAAGGTCATACAGTGTTGTGATGTCAGGGTCCGGTAAAAGCCAAAGCTACGTTTTAGAAACGTACTGCGATCGGTTTTTTTTATGGGCAACCCACTCCAACCAGTTCATTTTCAAGGCTCTTGAGAGCGTGGCTTTCAATTTTGTGGAAGGTAATAAGCACTGAAACCTTGTGTAGGTAGCTCTTTAGGACAGCGCAATATAGGTGCTTCAGATGATGATACTGTCCCATTTCCACGCCTTCGTCTAGATTTTTTTCTGCGTAATTATTTAGTAGCAGAGTTTTCTAATATATTTTGTTTTCATGTACCTGTTTTATTCGAAATAAGCAAAGGCGGCACCGCCACAGTGGTCTAGTGGCTAAGGTACTCGGCTGCTGACCCGCAGGTCACGAGATTGAATCCCGGCTGCGGAGGCTGCATTTCTCATGGAGTCAAAAATGCTGTAGGCCCGTATGCTCAGATTTGGGCACGCGTTAAAGAATATCAGGTGGTGGAAATTTCCGGAGCCCTCCACTACGGCGTCACTCATAATCATATGGTGGTTTTGGGACGTTAAACCCCACGTATCAATCGATAAGCAAAGGCATTCTAATGATCCATTTCTTACAGAAAAATAATTTTCTATATATATGTGACTGTCATCAACGCTTACACATTATACCATTTTTTCATGACGGTGTCAAAAGTGTTATTTTGCTGTCATTCTACGTCTGTGCCAGGCGTGAGTCGGTGACAGGTAGGAGGCTCTCGAGTCCGTAGCAATGTGATGAGCAATAAATTGTTTATTGAACTAATTAGAACTAATATTAGACATTGAACTATGCAGGCTAACTTCAGGTTTAAGATTGATGTTTAAAAATATATTTATGCACCAAGCCACGTCAATTTACCTGCAATGAACGACCTGACAGTCACCTTTCTAAGTCACCATACAAGACCATTTATTTATATGCAGCGCAAATATATTTCCCATCGATTCTTGTCCTCATAGAATTCTTCTTGTCATTCATGCCAATTGAAACTTGCTATCTTTCTCATTTATACCTGCTTTATAATGTGATTTGGTTTAAAAAGTATGCTTTTATCTGTTGGAAAATTTATATTGAGACTATTTTATTTTACCTGCTATGACCTCATCTTGAGACTTATGTCTATGTCTCTACTTAATTCTACTGGCACCTTGACATCAAAAAATACCCACAACATACTAAAACATCTAGGGTACATCTCCGGTACTAAGTGAGCCAAGGGAAGCCACTTATATGGTTATGATTTAATGTGCTTAGTTGGCGCTTGATCTTGGCATTGTCGACTAAAACCACGATACCTTAGCTGCTAGGCCTCATCAAGTGTGAGGCCCATGGAACGGCTTTACACTGTCTTATATTAGAGTTTTAAGTATTCTAAATCACTAACCACTTTATCTAAAAACAGCTTTTGCGGCGCTTCTCTACAGCACAGAGTGATATGTCTCGGGGGACTTCTTTAATATAAGCGATCCCTATAGCTCCGGCCGGCACTGCAATGAAGCCGCTAACTTAACCATACACTCGGACTTTGCAACACATTACGGGTCATTAATAAAACAATGAAAACAAGTGGATATCCGCATTCAAGGGCTCCGATGTTGGGTCTCAACTGTGGGCTGCCCAGAGGGCCTACTATGTCGCGGTCAGGCTTGACCTGGCTATCCTTAACTGCTGCGTGTTGGTTTGTGAAGCTCAGTATTAGTTTCCCATTCATATATCCATCCTTTGAACACCATCATGATCAATGTTGAGTGCAATCTGACTTCAATTTCTTTTTTAGCCCGGAGGCATGTACCCCGCAGCTGCTACGAGGCACCAGAGACTGGTCGATGCCGAGCACGACACCCAAGCTGGTACTTCGATTCCAGGCTTGGTCACTGCAAAATGTTCATCTACGGTGGGTGTGACGGAAACAGAAACCGCTTTTCTACAGAGGAAGAATGCATGGGCACCTGCTCACGTAAGTGCCTCTGGAGCATCAGCTTCGCTACTAGAAATATATTCTGATTTATCTTGATATGTCAAGCTAAGTATTTAACCCTCTGTTAAATGGAAATCTACTTGTTGCTTTTCATCTTTGTGTCTGCACTATGTTCTGCTAAACAGATCATGCGGCCTTTTTTTGTACAGAACACATATTCGTCTTAAATGTCCCATAAGCATTCAAAGCATTACCACAAAAAAGCCAAATAAATAAATTACGGTGACGTTGAATTTTAAAAGGTGGTTTGAACGCTAGCTTCCGTGTACTCTTCTCTTCTTGTTAATTGCCCGTATAATAATCTAGAACTATATTTATTTTTCGTAGGTGTTCCAGCAATCCGATTTAGAGCTATCTTCGGGCGCCTCTCTAGCCCATGGCAATGGCCTTCGTAATTTGTCGGTCATGTTTACCTCCATTCCGGCTCCTCCTTTAGAATCAGTTGAATCTCGCTTAAAGGTGCCCTGAAACACTTTTCCAAATCTCCATGGAATGAATCCACTGAAAGAGCTTATTGTCTCACAAATTCAATGCTGCAAAATTTTAAGAATTCGTCCAGTACGAACGGAGTTACAAAGATTCGTCACACACTGCAATCACATTCTCTCTTCTCTCGTCCCAACGAAAGCGCTGGAAGCTAATCAGGGAGAGATGGCAGGGCCACAGAGAAACGTCACGCGCAGCCCGTGACTTTGAGCACTTTTTCATTTTTTTTTCTTCGAATGCGCAACTTTCTCAGGGTGATCGCGTGCGCACGCGTGGACAAGTAGCGGCCTCTCACGGCGATCTCTGTAACAACCAAGCGCGTAATGTTCGAATCAGCCAATGGCTAATAGATGGGTTTGCTACGTGTGATTTTTGGGCAAATTGTGTTATTTGTTGAGTGAAGAGAAATCAATTTTTAGCTAACTTTGATAATTTATTGTGAATTCTAGGTCACGTGCTGCGCTATATTATTTGGCTCGCGTATTGTCAGCAGCCTCTACTACCGATCAGCAGCGTTTTCTGACCATGCTCAAAAAGTCTTGCACGGTGTCTTTAAACTCCAGCTGCTTTCTTTGTCGCTGAGTATTCTTTACTCGCCGCTCAGCACTGAGATTCCCAGACCGTGCCTGTTCATCGATGTCGCACACAAACCCAATATCGTATGTCAAGTTAGATCCACACAGTGCTTCTTGGCCGCTTCCTAACTACAGCGCAGACTTGACACGGACAAATTCACAAACGGGGCATTGAGGACATTTACGCATGAGCGTCAGTCGCAAAAGCACCTGCTTATTGGTTAATCAAGCATTGCTTATAAGAATCCATTCCCAGCAGTGGCTTCATGCAGAACGAGCCGATTTCACATACAGGACATAAATGTTTGCATCTAAGCAAATGCCTCGTGTTGTCCCATCGCTGAGTACCTAAACACGCGCAATTAAAATCAAAATTAAGCTATCATACACAGTCTTCGTAGAAGCCTTTTAGTAGTGCCATATAGAGATTGTTTAGTATTGCTGTGTCTCTATTATTCTCACCGCCATGTATTATGTTATTCTAAATGAATTTCGCGCAACTACTAACAAGAGATGGCCAACTTGAATATAAAACTTTAACAGTCGATGATCTTTATTATTTGTGGACCAGGCAGACACAGCTGTACACTAACGATTACAGGACATTGGTTTGGCCAAAGAGGAGCACGCTGTATGTTTATCGGTTCATGTCAGATTTTGAGGGAATATGGGAAGATTGGAGGAGGTTAAAAGAAGACAATGTAATAAAATAATAAACACGGCGTATCAAATAGCTTGCAACGTATCTGACAATATAGTATATTAAGTTATTTTATTTTCTAAAAGGTGATTCATAAATTGAGCATAATAACAATTAACACAGAAAAAAATTAATTAAGCGCTTCGCTGTACATAGAACACACATACTAAAGAAATGACACCACTGGCTTGCCTTGCAGTGTCGGTGGAGAGTCGAAATTCCAGTGAAGGTGCAATGCAATTGCTTGGCCCTGACTTTTAGATGTTGTCAATAAATATTTCTTCCTACCACCACATACGAAAGACGAGAAATCACATTACGAGAAAGAAATATGGATTCAATAACATAAAAAAGAGCACGAAATGTTGTGTAGCACTTAATAACAACTTCATTCGGAAATATTATTGTTAAATAGAGGTCGTTATTGCAAAAAAGCAGATAGTTTCAAAATTACGGGGTACTGCTTCAATTACGTTTGGCACATAACCTTCGCATATATGATGCATTGTGTTAAAAGAAAGTTCATATGAACAACTCATTCTCTACATTGCCTTCATTTTTTTCTCTGAGTGTTTATCACAATAAATTTATTTTCTCTCGTTTTGCAGCATCGTCTCGGTATCCTGTCGTCTGCAGCCAGAAGCCGAGCCTTCAGTCCTACTATTATGCTTTGTTCTACTACTATCAATACCGACACATAGTTTGGTATTTCAACCCTGCTGAAGCCACTTGCGAGCAGTTTCAACCAGGCCAGTTGCCAAAGAGTTCTAGCTTTTTTCAAAGCTGCCAGGCATGTTCAAACACATGTACCAGTAAGTGTATTTTTGTCTTTTTGGGTAACGCAAACATACCACGCGGAGCACTGGCGTACCCACGCTAAGAACAACCAAGTACTCATTTCCTGTAAATTAGGTACAACTTCTGGCAGCTCGATATAGAGCACACTGCCCATGCGTGGACGTTTTGCTATCCGCAGCTGTCGGGCTTGATCTTCATATAACATTTGTTCTCGGCCACTATAAATAACGGAAACGCCACGTCGCACTGTTACATGACAGTCCAAAACTTACGCGTGGCGTAAGGCATTTTACGTGTAAAAATAAACGCCAACCAACAGTTTTTTCGTCCCTCACGACGTAGCTAGGAAGGTGTTCCAAACCAAATGCCAAACTTGTAGGAAAAATAGTAGTCTTATAAGGGCAGAGAATGAAATAGGAAATTGAAGCCCAAGCCGCTTAGCGGCAAACTTGTTGGCGCTCACACAGAACAATAACACTTAGTCAGACAAGACGAGTCAATGGGAAGACCGAGGTATGAAGCTGGAAGAAGTCGTTAAACGGAGACTCTCGCGGAGAATCTTGTCACTGGAACAGGGAACGCGAGATTCAGGAAGAGAAAAAGAAAGTTATGTTGTGAAACAGGAAGACACTGAAACAAAAGAATAGGCACTCCTTCTGCTTCTCTGTGTCTTTCTTCTCCCGCTAGGTCTTCGGTGTCCACTTTATTAGAAGTCATGGACCAACTAGCCTGGCAACGAGTTTTCGTGGAAGATCACTGCAAATGATCGATGAACGAGTAAACTTTTCTCCTTGGTGTCTTCACCTTTGTGTACGGAAGCCCATCAAAGCAAAGGTGACAATGCCCGCCGTTGCACCTTTTAAACATTCACCGCAAGCAACATATTAAAAATAAAAGTTCGCGTTGTGACAAGCGTAGAAACAGACGGCATGGAATATGCGAAGAGCATCGTTCTTATTACAAGCTGTCTTGCTTGTTTCAATACATCCAGCACAGCTCTAATCAGTATTTGAAACAACCCACTCCAAATTTCTACAATGATTAAGTTACCAAATGATAGCAATATAAAAATGCTTATAGAATATATTTTCTTATTTACTGTTTTGTGGTGTGACATGACGGTCGGGTATCTAAAATAAACAAAGAAATACTGCCCTGTGAATTGACATAAAGACAAATGGGACTGCGAATTCCTCTAGACAAGCATCGATATGTTAATAAAGCTGCCGCACTGTTCCTATGAGCAATTATTTCATATAAATTGATTATACTTGTATTAAATCCCGTTAACAAGGCTTCGTGCCACTTGAAGGCCTGAATGACTCTCGTTATGTCAACATATATTTAATATCAAAATTTCACGACCAAAGGTGGGTACAGAAACCTCCTAATCATGAACCATGCAATAGATAAAAATTACCTTCAGTTTCTTCCGAAGGTGACTCTCTCTCTCTCCATATATATATATATATATATATATATATATATATATATATATATATATATATATATATATATATATATATGGAGGTTTACCAGACAATAATGCCACGGGATGTATAGGGGAAGGTATGAGACCCATTTGTATTGCAATTGTTTAGAAATAAATGTGGGTGAAAAGATAACTTGCCGTGAGTGGGTCCTGCTCACGGCAAATTATCTTTTCACCCAATTTTTTTCTACACTATTACAATACAATTGGGTCTAAACCTTCCCCTATACATTCCTTGGCATTATTGTGTGTTAGATTTTATTTTTATTGTTTCTGTCAAAACACGGAAAAACGAGTCAAGTATACATTTCTTTCCTTTATTCCCAATGTTTATTATTATATATATATATATATATAAATATATATATATATATATATATATATATATATATATATATATATATATATATATATATATATATATATATATATATATATATATATATATATATATAATAAACATTGGGAATACATAATTAAACTTTTGTAAAACCTGGAGGCTTTGTCAGAAGTACAGGTAATTTACAATGCGCCCACATCAAGCGGAAACTCCCCTCAACGCGTGATGTGTGTTAACACACACATCACGCTTCATTTCTTTATGTTTATCAGTCGTATTCTTGAACAGTTTTCTTCAGAAATATGGCCAGCAACTAACAATTGAAGAAATTTTGTTGTATGTACTAGAAGGTAAAGCGGACGAAAAAAAGTCTTGCCGCTCCCAGCGACCACCCATTCTTTTGTCTTTTCTTCTACTTTCCTTTTTCGACGCTTATATGTAGCATAATCACAACATTACAGTTAAAAGAGTACATACCCTCATTGGCCTCAGTGTCAGTGGGTCCTCAATAATGTTGTTTTAGACAAAGAATCCCCTGAATTTTCTTCTTTCGTACACCTAAACAAAGGTACAGAAAAAAGGCACGCAGACGTTGGTGTTGTGTCATTGTTACTTAAAGTTTATAAAATGGCTTGGCTATCAATACGAAATGTGGTGAAGCTTATGCAGTTGCACTATATTATCTTCGTGACTCAAGTCACTGCCACAGGAAGTTTAACTCGAGGACCTTATTCGTGGTGCATGGGCAAAAATAGAGGACGACATACGATAATTTTACATGAAGGTGCTTTGTATCAGCCAAACACCAGGAAAAAAATATTTGAGAGTAGATCGTGTATTCTCCTAGTGAGATTAATTGATGTATTTACTGATACGCCTAATATGTTATTCTGTGTGTTTTTGTTTTTCAGAATATAATAGCTGCTCCAGTAATCCAGAGTAGTAAGTAGGTATGCATTTTCGCAATCATTATATGTCGTGAGTGCTAACACACAGGGCTGCAACTTGGAGTATGAAAATTTGCAAAAATACACCAGCGCATATCGTCAAATAGAACAAACTATGATTGGCGTAACGTAATAAGACTTGAGGGCAGCAGGGTGGCTTGCAAAATTAGCAGGAGTAGCTGATATTTTCGTCAAACTCAGTTTCAAAAAGGAAATTCAGCTGGCCATGCAAGGTGTAGGGACAGTAAGAAAGACAAACGGTAATCATTCAGTGAAAAGGTATTATTACCTAGTTGATGGTAATTCCAACCAATGATGAAAGTAAGTTTGCGTGACGAAATTAAAAAAAATGGTCTTGGGCAATAAACATAATGTGCATGCATTATACGCGATGAATTGGAGGTCATTCAGAAAGATCATCATCTATCAGTGATGTCAAAGTAGATTGACGTTGATGACGAAATATTGCCGCATGGTTTCGCGTAGGAGAACCACGCGTGGAAGAGGGGAAAAACTTTTGACAGAGCCACTTCATTCTTGACCTAGCTGAACGAGCAGTACAACGCAGAGTTGCCTTGGGCGTGAGAATGTTTCGGTAGAATTAAGGAGCAACGTATTCATTTGTAACCTCAAGTGATATCGACGCAATCAATAAAAATAGCTTTTGCTCAACAGTCGTTTTCACTGTCTTTATCTCTTTTTGTCCTTTCAATTGCAGATATGCGGTTCTTCATCATTTAGAGTGTTAAACCAGACTCTACGGTAGCAGTTAAAAAGGTGCTACGTCCTTTTGTCTGGCCACAATTATGGAATGCATCAAGAGCTTTAGTGTTACCAGTGCTGACTGTTTATATTTAAGAGCTGACATTATGATACAAAATAAACTTTGAGGAATCATGCATTTTCGGAATATTCAATGAAAACTTAATGCGTTGATATGCTGTACACCAAAAACTAAGGGGCTGCGAATTGCCTAGGCCACACTTTTTATAACGAATTGAAGTTGCGCAATGAACCCCGTTGCATATCTTTTTATCCACCAAACTAATACGAAATAGCAAGTCCCGTTTTCGAATACTACAAAACCGAATGCCACCATACCTTGCACAATAAAGAATAATTTTCTTCCGAGAAAAGAAACAAAACACACAATTTTAAAAATGTGCAGTGCTTGCCTTAAATATTCTCAAATATTTCTGTATTCGTTCTCGCTGTACCCAGGTGCAACGCTTTTTCCTGTACTGCTATAAAGACGAAAAAACTTTTCTTGAATATGCAATACCTTGGAATAGCATCATTATTCACTCCTTTTTTTAAAGTTGTAGAGGGATTCATAAGAACAGCTCATTGGTTCCCTGAAGCATGCGCCTGACAGTATACTTACACGCGAAAGCCATTGTTTCTGGCAATATTGCAGTGATCTTTACGATATATGAACGTTGCTGTTTTACTATTACAGCAGAAGTCCTATGGTCAAGGTTAACCATTTCTTGTAGGCAGACAGCTATCTTAATGATGAATGAGCACAGCCTGAATGACTACTCAAGCATTCTGTACAGATGGTTAAACAGAAGATTCAACGAGCTGGGATTTCCTTTATTTTTCTCATGCATGCATTCTATAAAATTTTAAAGCGGATCTGTTCAGTTCGAGGGTCGCAGTGTATCTTAGCCATAAAACACTTATAACGTTAAACCATCACACGCTGAATCACCACCAGATTATAAATACATAATTGAGCAGACAAGGTGAAACGTGTTCACGAGCTTTTAACCGACCCAGCTATGTGCTACTTAGCGCTAGCTGCTATATTAATTTTAATCATGTAAGCACCACCAATTCACTGGGACTGTGCAGTGCGTGCCGTACGGGCCTGCCAGTCCCTTTTTATTACTGTTCTTCCAAAATACTATAATACACATGTTAACATGATTACTTCACTTATTTAAAGACTCCATAGGGTCCGTTTACAACGAAGCCTCAAGCACCAGCCTGTCTCTGTCATGCACCACACAACTGCCATATAGAGGGCCCTCTTTCATGTCTGATTTTTTTCTAATTACGTTTTACGTAATGAGGAAAATTACGCAGTTGAGCGATAGTGACCAGTAGTGGGAAACAACTGTTGCAAAATAATAACGGGGGAACTTGGAGCGTGCCGCACTCTATCGAAGAAGAGGAGGCAGAGGGGTGAATCGGGGCACGCGGACGTGGTCGGGGCAGTTCGCTCCTAGAATTGGCAATAAGCGGACGTCTCTCTTTCACGTTTGGGCGACGACTCATTTCGTTACAACAACTATGGGGGCCACAAACAGTCACTGTAGTGACCTCGTAACCACCTTAAATGTGCACTTTTGACATTTGTTCAGCCACGAATCGAAAAGCATAGCAAGGTAAGTAATTTTACTGTGAAAACTGCACTGAGACCGCCACACTAGCTGATTTCAGTACCGTAGTCGTCTCCGACTACCACCGGTTCCCGCAACCACCACATTTCCGAGAACTAAGAAAAAATGAAATAAAGAAAAAATATCTAGAATCAGACAGGATTTGCGTCCCAGCCCGCTGCATGTTAGTTCATTATTTTACCACGGAGCCCCACTGATGTTTTTTTTTTTGTTTTTGTGTAGAGCCATGCTGTAGCTTGAAACTCCTTCTGAAAGAAAAGTCATGTCAAACAAGTAATGATGTCAAACAATATGCCGTGGTGGATGAGTAAAACAACCCCGAGATGTCAGATAATAAGAATCACGCAACAAGTTGGTCGTTGAGTGCTTCACACCTATTAAAAAAAGAGCTCAGCTGCATTTATTCATCAACATCACCCACAAAGTGTACATAATGCCTCAGAAATGTGTGGCGGATAGCACAATTCTCCCCAAAACGGCAAAAACGCAATGGCATATAGTGAGTGCTTCCATGCATTCATCGTGAAACTTCTGATCATTTATGATGGAGTGAGTGCAGCCACCCTGAGAAGGTGGGTAAAAGCATCGGGGTCAACGAACAACTTGAGTTTACTATTTCATGGGTGTTGAATGAAGTAGAGAATAGCCTTTAGTACGGCGAGTGCTTCTCTCCTTGCACTTTCGCTTTGTTTAACCTATAGCTTTGCTAGTCACTTTAGCGAACTTTGTGATTAATCAGCTGGTTCGATCTCGGTAGTGAAATATTGTTCTCGTTCCGCAATAGGAGGAACACTATCATCCACGTACGCACTGCAGAAGGCTTTGATCGAACGACGTACAACCTTGTTCATCATTTTCTGCGATAAGCTAAGCATGGTCAATCGTCCGAAAAGCAGCCAGTTGTAGTCGGAGCTATCAAATTGGGTTAAAACAGTCTATTGATCTCGAACTATATAGCTACATTTGCCTGTGTAAAGACTGAGTCAGAATATCGTAGCTCATGCATGCGCACCATAGGCCATCTCGCAATCATGTGTCAAGGAACCATACTTATTATTTTTTTAGAGTTATTCTTCTCAAACAGTAAGTTTTAGGAACTTAGTATCAAATAAGTCCTCTAAAATGACTGGCCAGCCCCAAAATCACAAATACCAAAAGCACAATAGCGAGTTTCGTGAATTTTCAGTAATACCACCCGCTACTTTACACCACAAAAATAACGGTTGTTTAAAAGGATTTACTTTGCTTAGAGCGGACTTTTAAGGTGGCTTCTGGAAAACTACTGAGATCCTGTACCATATATTGGGCATGAAGAGCATCGATTTGAGACTAAACGATCTTATCATCCAGTAAACACTGCAGAAGGTTTTGATCAAATCAAATAAAGCAATATTTATTTTATTAATCAGCTGGGCTAGTTCGTTCATTCGAAAGGCGGCCGGTTCCAGTAGTAGGGATCAAAGTGGGTTATGCGAGTGACCTGTTTCGGATTCTCTTGAAGTGTTTCTTGTTATAACCCTTCACAGAAAAGGCCAGGTTATAGAAAAGCCAGGTACACAGCCACCTACCTCCTCGATGAGGTCTTCTATTACAGACACACACAAAAAAGATTCGTCTAGTAGCTATATACATATATGTATATCCCAAAAAAGTATGAAAAACTCCTCATATCTCAATGGACGCACACAAAATGTCCAGATCCCGACAGCTTTTCTTTGTGGCGACATTCATTCGAAACATATTGCCAGTCAGCCTTCAGTGCGCTAGTACTTTTTTCGAGACAATGATTTGACTTTACACTAAGGGTGACATGCAAGAAACAATGCGATCAATTCAATTACGTAGTACAAAAGAACTTCAATTCAGGATGTTGGACGAGTTGTACATCAATCAGATCCTCCACTGGTTAACCCGAATAATGGCAGGAGGAACAGGGATAATTTTGCTTCTTTTGAACATCTGGTTCTTCCAAGGTAAGATTTTTCAATTGATGGATTTTAAGGTGGTTTGTAATATGACAAAGATGAGCTAATTATGCCGATGCCTTAAAGTGAGACTGCGCACACACTAAGGTAAGCTCAATTTAGTGGATATTCACAGCACGTAAGAGTTGAGTGCGACAACCAAGTTAAGGCAATATGGTAGGGTAAGCAAGTTCTCGTTGTTCTAGCGTCATATCTCTAAACACTTCTATGTGGCCTTCATTCTGTGGAATTTGGACCGTATTGATTCTTTCTCACTTTTCCCTGGTTGAGTTCTAAGTTTTAGACTGTAGCACGAAACAAAACGGACCTTTTCTCCTCAGTCGATCCGTCTATCCGGACGCACGGGCTGATGAACACATAGACAGATGCACGGACGCACGGATGGACGCTTCACCCCCACTCTTCATCATTCATTCCGCGAATATGCACGCCTTTGAAAATTACGTTACGTAAATCTACATGTTTGAAATCAGATCGAAAATAACGCTGCTCTAGAAGTTCCTCACAGTGCCTTTGTTCTTTTCTTGTATACACAAAACATGAACTCGAACCTAAAAATTTTGTAGAAAAGACCAATTTTGTAGCTTACTTTGAATAACAGATATCTTCCGTTGTTAGCCGTCAGCATGGTTGAAGCTACCTGAGGGAAAGTTGTGCTGTGTTGAACTTTATTTATTTCTATTTTTAAAGCTAGTGCATCACGGCTTCACTGCTGGCTACCCAAAGCTGTTGGACTATGTAACAAGTCGACACCATCGTGGTTCTACAACATATGGACGGCCCAATGCACAGGTTTCCTCTACAGTGGCTGTGGAGGAAACTTGAACAGATTTGACACGGAAAAAGAGTGCAACGATGTTTGCTTACGTAAGGCAATTTTTTACAATAAATTCAGCGTTTTTGTTTGTTGTTGAAAAATAACGTTACCTCGAACCTTAAAATATGCTCAACTGTACGCAGTATGAGGAACAAAGTATTCGTTGCTACAATTAATTAAATTCAGCTATGTAGTCCACTAATATTTTTTTAATTCGTGTGTAACTACTATACTTATCAAACACGTACTTTTGGAGACTGTTTCACGTCGCGTACACTTTGTGCTGGTTGATCCTGGTTCTTTATGAAACCAGTCCTCAAGGGTTGAACATTGGTTGAGGTGCTCGGCTGCAGATCCGAAGGTGGGGGGTTTGATCCTGGTTACGGCCTTCACATTTCAATGGAAACGAACGAGCAGAGACTCCTGTACAGTTCGATTATAGTGCACGTTGAAGAACAACAGCAGAGTGACTTGTTGGGCGAGCTGGTTCACTTTTAACGTCACTTTTCGCGCGAAATAAACATAAGAGACGGACACGAGAGTTCGTCTCTCGTGTTTGTTTCTCGCCAAAAGCTACGTTAAAAAGAACAACACATGGTAGAAATTTCCTGATCACTAGACTACGGTGTCTCTAATAATTAAGTCGGGGTTTCTGGACGTAAAAACCAAGATACCATTGCTATAGGACCTAGAATCTTAAGTGGGCAACGAAATTTTTCGTTGCCTGGTCCACTTTTACGGCCCACTCCACGATTTGTGAAGTGGACTTTTGGAGCTACAAATGTTCGTTCACTTGTAACTCCAGCGTATGATGCGCTCTCATCTAATACATTCGTGCTGCTGGTCAGTGCCTCTCATTGCGCACTCTTTATTTATCCTCTGCTGTTGCCCGTCAACATGTACGTACAGCTATGCCCTATGTCGTTTGAATAGCCTTTGTTTTCAGCACATCCCTTAAAGCTGCAGATATTCTCTCTTTATAGCCCGTGACGAACAGTAGCAGAGTGTGTCCTTCATTGATTCAACGTCTAGATACACTGGTCGAATCCATACATTTGCCTTTGTGAAGAACCTAGTTTTTACGGCGAAACACATTGTCATATCACAGCAGACCATTTAGATAACGTATACTTATTCATCACCGCTGTCGCACCTGTCCAGTGTTTGGATTATCAGTATGTACCACGCGCGTCCACAGAGTAGAGTTTGACGACGGACCCAAAGGAATTTTCACAGCATTCACAAAACACTTCTACTAATATGCCAGTAAGAGCTAACATTATCGGACATCTTCGTAAAACACTCTTACCCTAGCCCGCTAACTTTGGTCTACCCCAACTTAAGGAGGTGATCACGAGAGCACACAGACTCAGGCGTATAGATAGATAGATAGATAGATAGATAGATAGATAGATAGATAGATAGATAGATAGATAGATAGATAGATAGATAAATAGATAGATAGATAGATAGATAGATAGATGGACAGACAGACAGACAGACAGACAGACAGACAGACAGACAGACAGACAGATAGACAGATAGATAGATAGATAGATAGATAGATAGATAGATAGATAGATAGATAGATAGATAGATAGATAGATAGATAGATAGATAGATAGATAGATAGATAGATAGATAGATAGATAGATAGATAGATAGATAGATAGATAGATAGATAGATAGAGACACAGACAGACAGACACAGACAGACAGACAGACAGACAGACAGACAGACAGACAGACAGACAGACAGACAGACAGACAGACAGACAGATAGATAGATAGATAGATAGATAGATAGATAGATAGATAGATAGATAGATAGATAGATAGATAGATAGATAGATAGATAGATAGATAGATAGATAGATAGATATGTTTTAAAATTCTGCTGGTCAGCAAGGAATTCTTTCCATTTAGAAGAACAGTTTGCGACTAGCTATGTATATACATTATGGTATATCAAGGGTGGGTAAGAGAGTTGGGAGGGTGAAATGCCAACGAAGCCAAGAAAAGCTAGGCGTCCATCATGTCGGCAGTGACAGAGCCTCGCTGGACTATGCAAGCGCTGTGAACCAGTTCCACACTACGTCCGAAAACCTGCGTAAGATTATCGAACTAATTACTGTAGTAATGAAATTTTACATTCGAACTCACAAGCTTTTTAACATAAAACTATTTGATTTTGGGGTCTACAAGGCTACGCTGACCTATTTTTGTGGCATTGTAAATTAGATTTTAACAATTAGAAAGAAAAAAAAACGAGAAGGAAAGTTTCTTTCTCATGGCGTCGAACCAGCCACATCTCGGTTCGCAGCTTCCGGTGCTAATCCTCATGACATGGAACATACGTTTTGGAGGATGCTAACGGCAAGTCACTTATTTATATACACCATACATCGTTTGACGGTCCTCTAAGCTCCAAAGCTTCAGTGCGTTGTCGTTATCGGTAGCGCGAACGAGAAACCGGCTCTTTTTGGGAGCACTTTAAAGGTTGTCGCCTCCACGGAGCGTCGTCTATCCTACACGCGCGCTTATCATATTGTGGGGAGGACGATGATCACTTCGCTCGCTGCCATGGCCACGTTTAGAAAAATGAACGCTCTGCTGACACACGACGAAATAAGAATCGGGACAGTTGTGTGCACTTGTCTTGTGCATACTTGTCCGCTTGTTTCGTGCGTTTTTCTCTTTGTTCGAACAGCGCGCTCTATGTGTTGAGCTGTAAACAGTTGTTAATCCGCTCTCCTCCCATGTATGGTAGTTTCGTTCGTGTTTTTTTGCTGAGGCGTGAGGTGCAAGTTTTGAGGTACTTGCTGTTTCTAGCATGACTTTCCAGTTTGTTGGTGTTGCTGAAACTATGCGAAATAATCGCTCAACTACTTTTGTGGAGGCACGTTTCACTTCTGTGTTATACCGAATACTTTACAGAGAGATCAGCCACGTTTTTTTTTTCGTTATGTCTTAACTCATAGACAGAAAACACCAATCATCATAAAGCAGCATGCTCTTTCTTCATCCTCTTCTTCCTCTTCATTTTCTGTTTTGTTCCCAGGCCAAGTGCGCATACTTGTCTGGCGAGGGCTGTGATAACTACGATGGTCGAGAAAACGCGTACCGATAAAAAAGTAAAAAAAAAGAGAGTAGAGGGAACTAGTAGATTGAAAGAGAACCAGGGAAGCTCTAGGCCGAAATTTTTTTTTCTATATTTTGCATTGAAACCCACGTACCATCGTAACCACTCGGATATCCAGGAACCCTATGATAGCATAGCATAGCTTATATATTGTAGTACAGAACGTTGTGAGAAAGAGAAGTCCGGAGTCAGTATATGAGAGCGAGAGGAAGCAAAACAAGGGAAAGAGCAAAGAGAGAAAGATAGAGATAGAGAGAGAGAGAGAGAAAATGGTAAGAGTGAGAAAGAAAACTGGAAATAGTGAGAAGAACGACGATGTAGACACAAGAAAAGGGAAATAGATACAAATAGCTCCCCCAAAAGACCGAGACAAGTGTCAGAGAGACAAGAGAAAAATGAAGAAAGGAGGAAAGAAAGACAAATCTTAAGACAAAGAAGGAAGGCCGCTGAACTACGCACTTCCTTCAAGCTTGGGACCTCCTATAAAGTGCAAAGTTGCCTAAAATATTTTGCATAAAAATTAGGCGTTCACATCATGATGTCCACCTCGGTGGAACAGTGGCTAGTGTTCTCGGCTGCTCACCCAAAAGTGGCGGATATTATCGTGGCCATGGTGGTCGTATTTCGGTAGAGGCGAATTGGTAGAGACCCGTGTGTTGGCCTATGACGGTGCAAGGGAAAGAACACCAGATGGTCGAAATCTCCGGAGCCCTCCACCATAGAGTTTCCCAAAATTAACTAGAGGGCACTCTGGCGCTGCGATCGTTCAGCGATCATGGGAATGATCGGTAGTACACACACTTGCCTAGTCTTCGTACTTGCGGGCAGCGAATCGTACTTGCGGCTTCGTTTATTGCTGGTTACGGTTTTGTTTTGAAAGAAAGAACGAACCCTTTTGAACTTAGAGACTTGATTCGAAATGGTAAGCCTAAAAAAATAAGGTTGTGAAGCGCGAATGGTGAACATTTGCTAATTTATGTTTTCGTGAAAAAACAGCTCCAAGCCACATGAACACACATGAAGCCAGAAGCAGGACAGAAGCACGAAAATTAAACAAATGGGTGTACTACCCATTATACCCATGCTCGCTGAAGCGCCGTGTGTTGCAGCTCCCAAAGACACTAGCGCCAGAGTTCCCTCTAGTGTATATTGAGAAACTCTATGCCCTCCACTACGGCTACCTTCATGATCCTATAGTGGTTTTGGGACGTTAAGCCCCAGATATTGAAATAATGTTATTGGGATAATAAAACTATGATTCTTATTATTATTATTAGTCATGGTTTGGTTTAGGCACCACTGTAGTGCAGTGGTTACATTGCTTTGCTGCTCTGCCTCAACGTACACATTTCGATGAAGGTGAAATACGGCCGCTGAAGACTTTGTGTCGCACAACGTCAGCGCACATTAAAGATGGGTCACATTATGAGCGCACCTCCACTCCCGCATGCCTCATTTCCATATCGTGGTTTTGGGACGCAAAACCGCCGAAATTGTTATTCCCATTAATAAAGTGTCGAGAACGACTTTTCGTCCGAATTCTTACAGCCCCAAATAAGCGAAAAAGGAACGTCTGCAGCTTGAAAGCGCGGTCAGGCAACTGCAAAGGTTATAATCCAAGGTGGACCTACGACCACAAAGAGGACATATGCCGGGGATTCGTGTACAGTGGTTGCGGAGGAAACGCCAACCGATTCAGCACGTGCTTGGACTGCATGAGAAGATGTAGCGGTAAGTTGTGCCTTTAGTGTCTGGCAACGTTGTACAGCTTATATCGTTTATCAGGCATAGCACACAAGAATAATCGTGATTACCATATACTAACTATATTGCAGTATTCATTCTCTGGTCATGGACCTAACGTGCTATATACATACCAGATACCACCTAAGTTGCGATTATTTTGAGTGTGACAATCTATTATATCACGATGATGAGGAGTATCACATCATGTTAGCCTGCGAAACAAGATTTCAAAGTCAAAGAATGCTTGGAGGCTCCTCTATATACTAAGCTTGAAAGCGCTCATTTCAGCAGAATTTGTTTGTAAAGCGCGCGTGCAGGAGGAGCCTAGAGCTACAATATCTGGTTAGCAACCATTTGTTGTTCCCTAAAAGCACGAGCAGGTGCCTGGGGTAATGCAAAAGGGACAAGAGGAGAAATAGGAGCGAAGGCGCGTGGTTCGAGTTGTCCCCTGTCTTCACCGCGCTGCCCGACTCTGGCGATGGCGGCCATGCACAAGGGTTTATATTTTGTTTTGTAGCGATGCCGCAGGCGCTGGCATCAAAGCGCGACGCAACAGGAAGCGCTACAAATTCATCTTATACTGAAATGCAATCACCGGCTTCGCGTAAATGGCACAATCAAAGAATTAAGTGTGTGTAAAGGATGAACATTAGGGAGAACAGTAAGAGAGTGATGTTTAAAATTAATTATTATTCAGTAGAAACGACATAAGTTACGCATTAAAATTAGAATATAACGTAAACAACGCATAAATGACACATGAAAATCATGATTGGAGCAGCTTAATATGGTACGCATGACCATGATGTTAAATTGTCCCTATAAGTTACAATTACTTCACTACTTCTTTGTTTCCCAATTCTTACAAGCAGCTCCACCATGGTGGTCTATTGTCTAAGGTACTCGGTTGCTGACCCGCAAGTCGTGGGATCAAATCCCGGCTGCCGCGGCTGCTTTTTCGATGGAGGCGTAAATGCTGTGGGCCCGTGTGCTCAGATTTGGGTGCACTTTGAATTTAGAACCCCAGGTGGTCGAAATTTCCGGAGCCCTCCACTACGTCTTCCCTCATAATCATATGGTGATTTTGGGACGTTAAAGCCCACATATTAATCAATACTAAGAAGCACAATATTTGCTTTATTGTGCGTATTCCAGTGTGCTTCTCAAGCTTTCTTTTTTTCTTGTACGTTTTTTGCAGGAAGAGACGGTCACTTACGCCGTTGCATTCTACTGACGCCGAAATTCAACGACAAGTATTACGTGGCATGGGAGCCCGAATAAGCTGCACGGTGCACGTGAAATGAGTATTTTTATATTTTTACCAGTATTTTTATGATAAATAAAAAAGTATATCACGAGTTAAACAGCTGTGCTTCTCTTGTGTATCTCCGGAGCGATGTTATGAAAATTGTGCACCCATTGTTATATTTCAGATCAGTTCAATAATTAAACACAACTACGTCCCGAGATCACGTGATTGATTAGTCGCTGCCTCGTACAAAGGAAAAGTAGACGTGTTTGTGAAAATGCGGCCTGCTTGCTTCCTGCAAGCGGACAATACTGTGATCGCTGATGCCCCTCAGCACATGTATCAGCTGAATTGAGTACACGTTCTTATTTAGAAGCATGTAAAAAAGAACTGATATAGTAAAAGCGAGCGGCCACTTATGAAGTTGGTAATGCATTTTCCATTTCGGGCATCCTATAGCAGCAATGCTTCGTGCGAGCAGCGAGATGACAACAAGAAGAAGGTGTTAACAAATTTGAAACATGCGCGTACTTGTTTTTCGTAAGCCTAAACTATTAGCAATATAAAACGATCTGCGCTCTTTAGGGTACAAAAGTATTCAGAATGGCTGATCAGGCAGGTTGATTATTAGTTATACTTGAAATAAGAGCTCGTAACTAAAACAAGAAATCAAGAAAAATAACGCACTTGTCCTTGTCTTTTCAGAGAAGGAGAAAGTGACACAAGGAAAGACGGTGAGGTTAACCACACGCACGTGCGATTCGCTGTCCCATGAGCGCCTGTTTTAGCTACGCGTTGGTATTTCAAGCATAACACAAGTCGGCCGTAAACGTATACTTTTGAAGACACATTATTTTATTGCGATTGTAATTACATGGACACTATCGGCTGCATATTGCCACCGGCGTCGGCATTGCCGTAAGTCACTCCATATACTTACGTATCTACGTATATGAAAACGCAAGAAAGAAAAAAAACAATCCTGAAAAAGGCTACGGTGCGCGTAATCGAACGTCCGACCTCTTGCTTGCGAGTGCGAGGCGTTAGCCACTTAACCATGAAGGAGCACCTCCTTCAACTTTGGAACGGCAAGATATTTATAACTACCGCTTACCGCTGACGATGCCCCTCTAGGGGTAACTATCGTGTTTTCAGCATAACCATCGAGATGGCGCAATGAGCGTGCGTCGCCAGAGTGTCATGACGCAGCAGCGCGCTCTCCTCTCCGACGCGTACTTTGCCCCGCGGAGAGGGAAGGGGTGTACGCTCACGCTTGTGCGAGCTTATTTAGCGGTGAGAAGAATCGTACCCCTTGTGCTTTCGCCTGAAATATTCTGTTCTAGTTACTGGACGCAAAAAAAAAAAAATCACTGCACTAGCTGAGCAGTCTCCGCTTGCAAAAAGGGCGCGCTTTTCAGGCACAGTGATGTAACAAATGAGACGCTTATTCGCATTCATCTGTACCTGTGAGTACGTTTTGTGCTATATTTGTGCGTGAGCAACGCGGGCACGTTTCGATCTGCTTACCTTTATTCACGTGGCATTCCAATTTGTTGCCATCGCATTCATAGCTTCGCCTTTTTGGCTGAGCTGTGACTTTTCTTTAATTCATCAATATTCTTAGGCAGCATATTCGTAGCTCTCTGTTGTGCCTAAAACACCGAACATTAGGAAACAAAAATGAGCAGTCAGATTAGCGATAGTATAAGCAACGTGAGAAATGAGCAGGTTTCCACAAAAGCACATGTTAGTAAAATTTATAACGTGCTCCTGACCTATTGAAAATGGGTCAATATTATTTGCGAGCACTCGCGCGATTGTCTTCTTGTTTCCAATGGTCATTCAGTTGCTCACATCCCTTTCTGAGTTTTCTGCAATAACAAGGTGATATATTGTAGCAGAAAACTATCAAATTACTTGCACTGTTTTAAAACTTTTTCACAAGACATAAATGTGTTTTTGTCCGATTCCTCCTGTACGTAAGGCGTGGAAAACACCACGATAAAACTGAGTCAGCAATTTTAACTAGGCATCTACGTCTGTGGTATTGATAGGATTAAGTTATAACGTCCCCAAGCAAATAACTATGATGTAGAGGCCATTCTTAAAGATAGCATCATAAAATACGGTTCGCGAATGACGCTTATGATTTACTAATCATGCTTGGGTTGTTGTTTAGCACTTCTTTCTTGCAGAATACTCTCATTCGGTGAAATTATCTGTCTGTGGCTGCACGCATCCGCTACGACCTAACCAAACGAACTGCCAAGCACTGTGACGCAGCAACTGATTTTCTTATTGCTGAGTAAAGGGAATCAGTTGCAGCCCTAAAAAAGACAAGTCCAGTTGTTGAAACAGGGGCTGCAGCACCAGCCTCGCTTTTATGAATCTCTCATAGTAGCGTATATGCTTGAATAGTTTGCATGGAATAGCAGATATCAATATTTGGTGGTAGTAGTACGGATAAACGCTGTAACCTAATTCATGGATGAAAACCGCATGTCTCAGTCATCACAATTATCAGCCGTACCAACGGGCTGTTGAAAGATTAGAAACAAAACGAGTGATAAGCATGTCCTTGTAAGTCTAGAAAGCTTCATGATGGTAAGGTTGATACCTGCTTTGGTCAAAACTGTCAAATAATCCAACGTTTATTTATTATCATGACTGTCAATAACAATACCATTCATCGATAAATAGTAATGAAAGGCTGGATTCAGTAAAACGATGAGCTCTAGCGAACAGATGTATTGCAAAATACATTGTTATGAATAATTTTAGATGGAAACATGGCGATAGGAAATAAGAATCAGTTGGTCACTGATGACGTGTAGCGATGATAAAGTGCCAAGTATGCCATCAAAAAGCACACATATTGCTACAAATAGTATGTGTATTTACTTGCAAGTACATAAACCCAAGATTCAACGCTCAGTTTATGCGTGCTCTTGTTCCCTTGCCTGTCATTTCATCGCCCCGCCACGGTGGTCTAGTGGCTAAGGTACTCGGCTGCTGCCCCGAAGGTCACGGGATCGAATCCCAGGTGCGGCGGCTGCATTTTTCGATGCAGGCGGAAATGTTGTAGGCCCATGTGCTCAGATTTAAAGAACACCAGGTGGTCGAACTTCCCGGAGACTTCCACTTCGGCGTCTCTCATAATCATAGGGTAGTTTTGGCTCGTTTAACCCCTCCAGCAATACGTCCTTTCCCGTGTTTTGGCAATTCTACATTTTTTTATTAAACATGCTCAGCTGTCGCGCTATGCGCAAATTGAATGCAAGAATTCTGAAGAATCGTTTTACTGCCGCCATCTGGTGCATTACCAGTAAGTGCTCCTTAATCGAAGGTGCCACGCTACCCGTCAGATGACGCTTAAAATGCCCGTTCTGGAATATTTATGGTTAGGTAAATCTTACCATGGGCCATGAATTAAAACACTATATCATTTTCCCTCCGTCCCAGTACTAGCGGCAAGTGAAAGTGCATACTTTAGCTGTAACATTGTCGATGAGTGGTATTGCACGTTTGATAAATGTGGCTTGGTTTGAACTCTCTGATATAACATCGGCACTAATGGCTCTTTACACTGCACTAAAAAGAAAAAAAAGAAGAAACAGTGCTATTCTTATGAATAGACTCAGGTCAGAGTGCCTTTCTACTCTGTGCATGGTTTTTCGGGGGTGAAGCTTTCTATGCCGTGAGTCATGCGTCCACGATGTGTGTAGTAGTCGTAGTAATAGTAGTATTAGTAGGTAGCCACCTCCATGACCGGACCATAGAGGAGCGGCACGCGCGCACCCTTTTCAATCGAGGAGGAAATTCGCTCACGTTAACCATAAACAAAACATAGTTGTTTCTGATTGAACAACTTACAGATACGAGTATTGGTGACTCAATTTTCAATAAAGTTTGCCCTGAATTTGCTGCTTACGAAAAAAAAAAAACTAGTATCAGAGTAAGCACTTTGAGCACTATGTGACCACAAAGCATTGCCACGTTAAACTCGCTGGGCGTAACCTGCTTGGTTTTGGCAAGGTCTAGCGAGGGTTGGGCCGCAGTGCCATGGATATGGTGAACTTGTCTGTAGCGGGTTATAGCTATGAACTAGAGGCGGTGAAAGGTTGGAAGTAGGCATAAAGCGCAGCCCGTAAGAAAGTGCGCGAGTGCCACCTCTCGTTTAGTCCTTGGAATGTCCGCTGTGTGGCGGTACTTCTACACGCTGAATATGTGATGAAAAGATACAAGATGGCGGTACTCTGAGTGTTCACTAGATGGACAGACGGATGGAAGGGCGGACAGACAGACAGATGCACGGACGGATGCGTGGATGGCAGGATGGACGGATGGATGCATGGATAGACGGGCGCATGGGCGGACACAGGGACGGACGCTCGTACGAACGCAGGGACGGACGCACAGATGGACGCACAGACGGTTGGGCGCACCGATGGACGGATGGATGCGCGAACGAACGAATGGACGAACGGATGGTCGCACAGACGGACGCACGGATGAGCGGAAGCAAGAATGAACGGACGGACAGACCCTTCGCCTCACTCATCCTCAAACCCTCCGTGGATATGCTGTGATTTTTTTATGTAGGAATATGAATAATAAATTTGAAGACGGGCAATATATGAATAGCCACCGAATTCTGCAGTGAAGAAATTTGTATCACATAAAGTGAACGAGCAGAAAGCTGTAGGTCGGAGACAAAGGGACGATTTCTAAGCGAAAATATTTCATCGCATGGCAACACCTCCATTTCCTCTTAAGAAACAGGCCATTGTAAAATGGGTATTACTGAATATTCATTTCTGCGTATTACCCTATTGGATACAGCACTCTGTTAAACTTTGTATGCTTATTAAGGCAGTGTTCATCATGAGGTCCGTTTTGTCACTGTAGATATTCTACATTGTATATTCTAACTTAAGACCCTCTCACCGCAAGATAACAAATGACCAACATTTGTGATTATACTGAACCGCTTCTATTTATCTCACCACGTAGAAACTCCTCCGTTTCCTCCGAAGAAACAGGCCATTGTCAAATGGTAT